CTTTAGTTTACAAAAAAATAAAATAATAAAGGTTTCTGATCATGAGATGATTTCAGTCTAAACTAAAATCTGTGATTTTAACCTGGGTTTAACCTGAAACATGAGAAATATTTAAAAGTAGTCATTTGTATTTATCTTCTTCTGATAACTAAATAGTTTTTCCCCCTGCAGCGCATCGGTAAACTTTATCCTGGAGACTTTGACCGTCTGCGCAGGATGTCCCTGATCGAGGAGGGGGACGTGAAGAAGATCAACATGGCTCATCTGTGCATCGTGGGCTCCCACGCTGTCAACGGGGTGGCCCGCATCCACTCTGAAATCATCAAAGATACTGTGTAAGAGAGGCCTTCTGTTTTTAGACGCTTTGTTAGTCAGACGTTACAGATGTCTGAGTGCAGCTCTGCATCTTCTCCAGCTTCAAGGACTTCTACGASATGGACCCGCAGAAGTTTCAGAACAAGACCAATGGGATCACACCGCGGCGCTGGCTGGTCATGTGCAACCCAGGCCTGGCCGAGGTCATMGCTGAGGTGTGTTTTAGCTTTTAAATAAACACATTTCACAGAAACATTTAGATTGTCTAGAATAACAGTGCAGTAGGGCATTATCATAGTGTGACTTTACGTCCGTCATGCTCCACTGAGGTATTTCACCGAACACGTTCATGTTTGATGTTTTTATTATCTGATCCAGAGGATTGGAGAGGATTACATCCGGGACCTGGATCAGCTGAAGAAGCTTCTGGACTTTGTAAATGATGACGCCTTCATTGGAGACGTGGCAAAAGTCAAGCAGGTGAAAAAAGTAGAACTTCTGACTGTAAGAGGTGATGAGTCAGCACTTTTATTACTATTTGCTGTCAATCTTCAGTTTTCCTGCAGGCTGCAGCTTTTTCAAAACATACATCAAAACATCTGATGGAGTTTTGTTGCTGCATCTTTATGCGAAAAATTTGCAAAAAACTGAGATTTTTTTTTTTGCAAATAGCAATAAGACAAAACAAATAAAACAAGTCCTGTGTGGATCTGCAGCTCAGACCCACAACAGAACATCATTTAGAGCTGAAACGGTTCACAGAGTCTTCACATGACTGAACAGATTTTTTTACATCTTTAATTACAGCCTAGGGTCAGTATGGAACACCAACATGTTCAGTATTAAATAAATACATCAAACATTATAAGTATCTACATGAATAAATAAAAATAAATATATATAAAATGTGACAATGTAACTGTGAATGATTATATAATTCTAAAGTCATTATTATGAAGATCTTTTTCATTCTCCTTTAAAAATGTGCAACTTAATATAAAACATTTTACAGTGAAAATTTCCCCAATAATAGAAGTTATTTTTAGGCATTTTTATTTAATTCCAGCTGTTTTTATTCCCAGATGTTCTTTTCACAAAGTCATCTTTCATTTCATAATAGTGATTTTCCAAGTGGCTTATTTATTTTATAATAATTCAGCAGAATGTCTTCATCTGTCAGKGTGGAGCAGTTGTTTGATTGGCTGTTTCTTTACCCAGACAAAACTAATCACACAGCGATACTGAATTATGCCTGAAGGTGCAGAACATACTCCTTTGTACTAATCAGTAGTACTAAAACTGCAGCTCAGATAAATGCAGCATTTAACTCTCCATCCTTCATGGCCCTACACCTAACAAGTCATTACCAGCTGTATAAGCTGTGCATCGAGCAGGATTTCAGGAAAACTAATCGATGTCAAGGATCAGCCATGTGCAGGTCCAGCCCACTGATTCTGACTGACAGATGAAGTCATTCTGCTGAAAAGTATCATTATGAAATAAATAAGCCACTTGGAAAAAAACACCATTTATGAAATAAAAGATGACATTTCATTTCTCATCATGATCTAACCAATGCTAGGTCTTCAGTTTTAAAAGAAGAACTAACTGGATTTTTGAGAAACACATGCAACCTTCAACATTCATTCTTTTTGACWTTTGTCTGCATGTCCCTGCTCCACCTTCCAGGAGAACAAGCTGAAGTTTGCTGCGTACCTGGAGGAGCAGTACAAGGTGAAGATCAACCCCAGCTCCATGTTTGATGTGCAGGTGAAGAGGATCCACGAGTACAAGCGCCAGCTGCTCAACTGCCTGCACATCATCACTCTGTACAACCGTGAGCTGCTTTCCTGTCTCAGTGCTGACCAACAAACCAACAGACCAAGACACTAAACACGTTATTGTCTTTTTCACCCAGGCATCAGGAAGGAACCCAACAAGTCATGGACTCCCAGGACCATCATGATCGGAGGAAAGGTGAACTGAAATCACGAAATATATATATAATCATCTCAGTGTTACAGAGTTGTGATAAAAGACAAAAATCATCACATTTTGCTTAATCTAATGGATTATGTCAAATTTACTGGTTTTCACTCATCAGCCTGCAATAATAAAACATAATGTAGGAAATATGAGACACATATGATCCTGTCTAAAATTTATTACATTATTTATGAAATTTAGTTATGTTTTTTTATTAAACATATGGGTTTTTGGAGCTAAATGTTTGACAATTTGGTGACGAGGATTGAAAAACACTTGTTTTGTTTTCTACTTGAACTAAAGCTGCTCTGGTCTAAAGAATTACACACCAAATCACCTAATGGGTTTAACTCACCACCTTCGAACTTTTTGGAAATTGGCATATTTGTCAATTGTGATCCCACAGCACATTATCTTCAATTTTAAATAAATCAGACCACTGGTTCCAGAGCTATGGCCCCCCAAAATTTCAGATTTTTCTGCAGAAATGCACATTCCCACTTATATTCAAGCCCAATTATCTCAGTAATACTGGGTCACTCTTTGGAAAGAGAATTTAACGAGGMTTCCAAATCAGTATTGTTTGTTACTCACTTATAATAAAAAAGGTTTTGTTAGCCACAGAAACTTTGATCGAGTGTTGTCTCTGTTAAAAAATATCTTTGGAGCGTTTATATAGTTTCCATAACAACTACAGGTGTAAATTTCAGAAAAGGTAAAATCACCAGTGGAAGAATATCAGTTCACTCTGAGAATGTTTTTTTTACAAATCAGGTTAATCTACAACCAATATGAGTTTGATCCAGAGATACACTACATGTTCATGTTTTATCTACATTTTAATGCTTAATGGTTCATTTCAGCTCCTAAACTAAAACATTTCCACTTTGAAACTTTATATATTTTAGGTAACAAGCGGGGGATTTATTTTCAGAAAAGGTCATCTCAAGGTCTTAGATCAATTTTCAGGTGGTAGGAAAGATCAAAGGTTCATTAGATTCTATTATGCTTTAATCAAAAAAGTAAAGGCAGATTTAGAATTCTTCTCAAGTTCCCTTTTCAGTGATAATGGGTTTGTGAAAATAAATAATAATAAAAAGATCCAGTACTTCCTGAGATGACTGAGGATGAAAATAAGCAGACAATGCACATTATGCAGAAAATTCAAAGCTCTGGGGTGGGGGGTGGGGGGGGGGGCATATCTCTGGAACCAGTGGTCTGATTGACCTAAAAGCTGAGACACTTTGCTGTGGAATCACAGTTGGCAAAGATGGCAATTTTCTTCAAAATCTTTTTTTTTTTTGGGTGATTTGACACAGAATGACACGACCAGGCTTTATACGAACGTCCAGTTTCTTTATTCTACTCAAGATCCACAGAACGTCATGAAAACTACAGCAAAACATGTCAGTACACCTTTAAATGTACACTAAGCTTCGGTAAACAACATATAACACCCACTTCTTTATTCTGTAAGTCTAATAGTTAATGGCAACATTTTCTAACATCTTGTGATATTTGCTGGGACTCAAAAATGAGATAAATAAGATGATGGCACACAGAGCTGAACAGAGAAGACACATGGCAGAACTACAACCTGCTCATCCAGCAGAACACAGACTTCTGAGGTTCTGGTAACACACAGCTACAGAATTGGACGTTTTCATGGGATTATTTGTGTTTGCAGGCAGCTCCAGGTTACCACACGGCTAAAATGATCATCAAGCTGATCACTTCAATCGGTGACATGGTCAATAATGACCCTGTGGTAGGAGACCGGCTGAAGGTCATCTTCCTGGAGAACTACAGAGTTACTCTGGCTGAGAAAGGTAAGAACTGCTTTAGAGTGTGTGAGATGAGAGTGGATGTGTGTAAGAGAGAAAACAAGTGGCAGGATGTTTTATGGCTTCTACGGCTCCTCATAGAATTCTTCTGTACACTTTGTGCTGCTTTAACCTTTCATAAATCAGAACTTTCAGCAGGATGGAGAATAGTATGTTACAACTGTTGTTTTTGTATCTTTTATACTTTATTTAACTTGATATTTGATCAAATGTACTCATGTAATTCACTGAGATGTCTTCAGTTTCATGGAGAACATCCAGTAGTTGTTGATTAGATCTGCTTCAGCATACAAGCTCTATGTTTGTTTAATACTTTTAGCTACTGTTTGTCTATTGTTCATTTTTAGCTATCCTTATAAATTTGCTGCACAGTGAATCACAGCTAAGAGTTAAGTTTAAGCTTTAAACTCAGGATTCAGGGGAATCCTGATTCCTAAGCTTTAGTTTTCTGTGCAGTTTTAATTTTCCCTAGTTGTTTGGATTTCACAGGATTAGCACTAAAATGTATTCAAAAAAGCATTCAAAAAAAGAAGAGAAAAAGCTTCAGTGAACTGAATAATGATGAACTGTTTTGAATTAGTCCAGTCAACTGTAGAATAAAAGCTAAAGTAGTCCTACATCAGAAGTTTCACTTCCTTCTATTATCCAGTATTTGTTAAATTGTTTATATAAGACAGCAACACACATACATGTCAACCTCTTCGGACGTTTACCTGTATAAAAAGCCTCAAAATTCCGTAAATTTTGCTTAAAATCCGTACAACTCGCACCCGCACGGGGGTGTCCATCGGCTGCGCACATGAAAGCGCCTGCTGCGAAGCAGGAGGAGAGGAGAGAGGAAAAAGTTCAAAACTTATTTCTAGCGGCAGAACATGCTGGAAGATGGCTATGTGATGTTATTTATTGTTTTTTAAATCATCCTACAGGCTCTGACATGTTAGATAAATTTGAAAATGTGATTTTGAAAAAAATCCGTAAGACTTGAAAAAATCCGTGAGATTGCTCTATACAGTACGTCCGTATACCTGCAAAATGATGTAAAATCCTTATAACTTACAGACAATCTGTACAAGTTGACATGTATGAACACAATAATCATTGAATGAATGTTTAGTTTTAATGTTCCATTGTAAGATTATCAGTGCCCCCGTCTGGCCACCCCCTGCATTCATTGAGCAAAAACCTTATTTACAATGTGTATTTGTATTAGTTTTAGTACACACTGACTGAGTGCAGCTGTAAGTGTTATGTGCTAAACTTCTGAATGATATGACCCTCAGACTGTTTCAGCTGTCTTTGTCTGTTGTATGAGAATAATAAATGATTATCAGCACTGAGCTGTCAGCTCGTCCTGCATCCTGCTCTGTTTCCACTCATGTTGTGGACAACTCCTGCACACTCTATTCCTGAACATGTGAGCCGTTTTCAAAGTCCAGAGCTCAGCCTGACACATCTCTGCTCCTCGTGCAGTGATTCCTGCATCGGACCTGTCGGAGCAGATCTCAACGGCAGGCACTGAGGCTTCTGGTACCGGCAACATGAAGTTCATGCTGAACGGGGCCCTCACCATCGGCACCATGGACGGGGCCAACGTGGAGATGGCAGAGGAGGCCGGAGAGGAAAACCTATTTATTTTTGGCATGAGGGTGAACGATGTGGAGGCCATGGACAAGAAGGGGTGAGCTTCAGTCCTGCTGAATGTTCTTTGTGATCATTGGCTATAGTATGTGAGCCATCAGTCATCACACCAGAGGATCCAGTCAAATCATGTCCAAATGAACTGTAAGTGACCTGTAAATKACCTGTAATTGATCTGTATATGACCTGTAAGTGACCTGTAAATAACCTGCAAGTGACCTGTAGGTGACCTGTAAATGATCTGTAAGTGACCTGTAAGTGAACTTTACATGACCTGTAAATGACCTGTAAATGACCTATAAGTGACCTGTAATTGATCTGTAAATGACCTGTAAGTGATCTGTAAGTGATCTGTAAGTGAACTATACTGTACATGATCTGTAAATGACCTGTAAGTGACCTGTAAGTGACCTGTAAATAACCTGCAAGTGGCCTGTAGGTGACCTGTAAATGACCTGTAAGTGACCTGTAGGTGACCTGTAAATGAACTGTAAGTGACCTGTAAGTGACCTGTAAATGACCTGTAAATAACCTGCAAGTGACCTGTAGGTGACCTGTAAATGACCTGTAAGTGTAAGTGACCTGTAAATGAACTTTAAATGACCTGTAAGTGACCTGTAAATGATCTGTAAATGAACTTTAAATRACCTGTAAGTAAATGACTTTTAAGTGACCTGTAATTGAACTGTAAATGACCTTTAAATAAGTGACCTGTAAATGGCCTGTAAGTGACCTGTAAATGACCTGAAAGTGAACTTTAAGTGACCTGTAAGTGACCTGTAAGTGAACTTTAAGTGACCTGTAAGTGACCTGTAAGTGAACTTTAAGTGACCTGTAAATGACCTGTAAGTGACCTGTAAGTGAACTTTAAGTGACCTGTAAATGACCTGTAAGTGACCTGTAAGTGAACTTTAAGTGACCTGTAAGTGACCTGTAAGTGAACTTTAATTGACCTGTAAGTGACCTGTAAGTGACCTGTAAGTGAACTTTAAGTGACCTGTAAATGACCTGTGTAAGTGACCTGTAAATGACCTGTAAATGAACTTTAAGTGAACTTTAAGTGACCTGTAAGTGACCTGTAAATGACCTGTAAATGACCTGTAAGTGACCTGTAAGTGACCTGTAAATGACCTGTAAGGGACCTGTAAGTGACCTGTAAATGACCTGTAAGTGACCTGTAAATGACCTGTAAGTGACTTGTAAGTGACCTATAAATGACCTGTAAGTGACCTGTAAATGACCTGTAAGTGACCTGTAAATGACCTGTTAAGCTCTGTTTTGATTCCTGATCATGCTGATATCATGAGCAGTTCCATAGACATGCCTCCATTTGTTTTCCTAATCAGGATAATTCATTGATTTTTGGTCTGAATCCTATTTTTGTTATTCTAGGTTTAGGTTAAAAACAACTTTGCTAGTGCGCAGGAAAAATGTACAAAAAAAGTTTGTTTGTTTGTTTGTTTTTTGCTTGAAATCAAAAAAGTGCTTCAAAGAAGTCTTTCAGATTATATTTCAGTTATTTCATTAAAATGACCCACAGACAAAGTGTTTTTGATCAGAACAGTGTGTATTTCTCCACAGAGCACTTTGTGATTTAGCCTCTGTTTAATGTGACATGTGGGTCACAGACATGATACAAAACTAAAGACATTTGAAATGGCAACTTTCTGGCTTTAAGAAACCAAAATAAATCAAGAAAAAAAAGTGGTTACATGTGTGTATTTGTGATGAGTAACAGGCGTGCTGTGGCTCTAACATGCTCTCTGCTGCCCTCAGGTATGTGTGTTTGTGTGTATGTGTGATGAGTAACAGGTGTGCTGCCTCCCTCAGGTATGATGCTGTGTCCTACTACAACCGGATCCCCGAGCTGAAGCAGGCTATAGATCAGATATCTGGTGGTTTCTTCAGCCCCTCTCAGCCAGGACTTTTCAAAGACCTGGTCAACATGCTGATGAACCATGACAGGTCAGAGCCTTCTCACACACATTTTTCCACTCTGAGTTGTTCTGTATCGACCCAGTTATTTACAGCAGGGGTTCTCAAACCTTTTGGGTCTGGGGACCCCTTAGAAGGGTGAAAAAAATTCCAGCGACCCCCTCAAAAACCCCATGCTGTTTTAAAAGATAATTTATTGTCATTTCAACCCCTAAATGCCATGGGAATATAAATTTTAATTAAGTTTATTATGTTTGTTTTATCAGTTCATTGTTCTCCATGCATTTTTAAAAATAAAAACCAAATTAACATTTAGTAAAAAAAATTTTGAGGACCCCCCAAGTTACCTCTCACAGACCCCTGGGGGTCCAGGGACCCCAGTTTGAGAACCTATGATTTACAGCACCTAAATTAAAAGTATTCATGTTTTGTGGACTAATGTGTAAAATATTGTTGTGCAGCTCAGTTTGTAAGTGTGTATGTCTGTGCTGCAGGTTCAAAGTGTTTGCAGACTATGAAGATTATATGAAATGTCAGGAGAAAGTCAGCGCTCTCTACAAGGTGAGTGTTTGAACAAAGCAGACTCCAAAGCACATCCAGTCATGTAGACATATTTCTGCAGGAACACCTGGACAGGCTTATCTGTATGTCTAGGTCAGGGCTATTCAACTAAATCACTCAGAGGGCCACAGTTACTGCAGGCCAACAGCTGAGGGGCCGAACATCCAGAAATAGCCTATATGCCACGGACATTCGGCCCAGCACTTGATGCCACTCTCAACACTTCCAGTTCACAGTCAACACAGTTAGCGAAAGATTTTTTCACCAACAACGACTCTTAATGATCTCCACAGTACAGAATTAGCATATTACATGTACCAACATTAACACAGGAGACGTACAGGTCCAGCCAAGTGGGAAAAAAATCACTCCAAAGTGGATTAAAGTCATAAAAACAAAGGAAAGACGTTCGTGTTTGTGGTTCCAGAATTTAGCCTTTTTCGCTATTTTCACTTTTTCACTATTCTGTGGCTGCTTGTTCTGTGAATTTTTCACGTAGAGCTGTGACACTTATWTTGTTGGAAAGAGCAGAGTCTGGGCTTTAAATTGATGGGCTACTTGTATGGTTTGGATCGTTTTCCCCGACGTTAGTGAACTGAAAACGTAATGATTATCAGGCGGAGGTTCTGCTGCTCTCGGTGCTCGGGGGAGGGGAGGGGCGCTCATCACTCAGCTTTAGTCTACACTGTAATATACACTCTAACAAGGTTTTACTTTTGCATAAAACTCATGACAAAGTCGCATAAAAACATTTCATACTCTGTATCACACAAATGCGTGCACACACGCACCTACCTTTGTACCGGCTGCTGTTAGCTTCCTGCTAGCTGTGAGGTGGTCTTTCCTCTCTCGTCTTGGCAGTAAAAGGGGATAAATGTACATTTCCCTTTTGTAACCTCTGTCTTCTCATTTCTGATGCTGGCTCTTGAATATCCTCAGGTTAGAAATGCAGATTACAAACCAAGCGTGAGCTTTTAAAGATAAGTTTTCCCTGTAATGCTATGATCCACTGCTGTCACCTCCTCATCAAGAGGAAAATGGATAAAAACTAACTACTCGATCGTACCTGCTGCTTAGTGAACACAACGACACACAACAGAACTCATGTTTTATACCAGTAGATCACAGATGCTTTAACTTTTGTGACTTTTTCACAGACCAGTACTAGGAGCTAACGCCAAAAACATAGGCAGTAAGCAGGAAGTGGAAGGGAGGGGCGTGGCAAAAATTTTACAGGAAATACGTCATTAATGACCGTGGCATATAGGCTATTAAAGTCATTATGTTAAAAAAAACATAGATTACAAAGATCTGTTACCTTTGAAATAGTTTATTTTGCTGCATTTAATCATGAACACAACACAAATATTATTTTAACATCTCTGACTTGCCAAATGTTTAAACCAATTTTATTTTCACTTTCATAGTTTTATCTTCAACTGCTTGTAGTTTTAACTGTCTTGGATGTTCATTGAAATGTTTGTTACTAACTTTTAGCCAAGATCCTAGTGTTTCTGTAGATACCAAACATGTCTATGTTTAACTCAAAGAACTGGTAGTAAAGTAGAAAAACAGAGCTTTGGGCTTAAAAGATGAATGAAATAACCGGTCGGCCAAATTTTGGTCACTCATGGGCCGGATGTGGCCTGCGAGCCGCCAGTTGAATAGTGCTGGTCTAGGTGGAGTCAAACCAAGAAAAAGAGAAACTACTTCAGTTTAACTCCATATTTACATTTTTCTTTCACCCTTTCAGTTTTTAGAAGGTTAACTAAAGTCGGGTTATAGTAAAAGAATAAATAAAAGAATCAACATGATGTTATTCAAAATAAAAGTTGACATTTTGTTTGACACATTTTAAATAATATGAAACATTTTTCCTCCTTGGTATTTTGTTCTGTTATAGCATTTTGTTTATGCTTTGAGGGAAAATGAAAGAAAAACATCTTGAAACCTTTTTTGGGGCTTGAATTTTTACCAGTACGAGTCATTTTTAAGCTTTTTAGGAATTTAAAATGAATTTATCCAACAAAATATGCCTAAGTGTGTTTATCTGAGTCAATGTGTCCTCTCCCTGTTTTGTAATCAGAACCCCAAAGAGTGGACCAAGAAGGTGATCCATAACATCGCTGGCTGTGGGAAGTTCTCCAGCGACCGTACTATCTCCCAGTACGCCAGGGAGATCTGGGGCATCGAGCCCAGCCTGGAGAAAATCGCTGCCCCAGACGATCCTCGTTAACCCTCCACAGGTGCTTCCTTTCCTCGCCGTGTAGCTGACCACGTGGTCCGACCTGCAGGGCCCGGACCGGGCAGCCCCCCATCACTCTGCACTGTGGCACTGTTTCTGGACAGAACCTACTGTATCTTTGCACAAACTCTCCGCTTCCTGTTGCACTTATTTGAAACAGGCTCATGGTTTCTTTCTCTGCATATACTTACAGTCAGTTTTTTTGTTTGTTTGAGCTTTGAAGAAAACAAATGTTTTATTAGATTTAGTGAGAAGATGAAGAGTTTTATTAAAACTAGAGGTTTAAAACGTTGTGGAATCATGAGATTAGATTAAAAAACGAAAGGCTTGCTCCCTCTGTAGTTTCTTTAACCAAAGCTGAACGTGTTGCCAGGATTCTTGCATTCCCCTTTTTACACAACAAAGCAGATGTTGTAAACATGAAGACGCCTCACACTGTGCTCAGAGGGTTAAAGGAAGACATTTCCCCATATTTGCAGCACATTCATATTTAAAAATGTTTAATATAAAAACATAGATTGATATGTGTTTTATGGTGTTAGTTGAATGTATTTATTCCATTAAAATTATTATCATTGATAGAGGAGCAGCATGTTTGTAACTGATCTGTAAGTGAACAGAAACATCTTCCCTGCCTGAAGCAGCCTTCAGAACATGTGTGTGTTGTCTGCTGTACTTGTGTGTGAAACATAGATGAGTCCATGAACTTGTACTGTAACATTATTGATGTACTGTAACTTCATTAACTCCTGCTTCAGCTTCCTGCAGCTGCCTGCCTGCTGGGAGGCTGCAGAATCTGCTGTCCACAACATTAAACTAACGCTGTCGCTGTTTGGTTCAGTTCATTAAAGAACCTGAAATGACTCTGTATGTGTCCTCACACAGACATGTTGTCACACAGACAGCTTCTCACACAGACATGTTGTCACACAGACAGCTTCTCACANCTCACACAGACATGTTGTCACACAGACAGCTTCTCACACAGACATGTTGTCACACAGACAGCTTCTCACAAAGACACATTCTCACACAGACAGGTTCTCACACAGACAGGTTCTCACACAGACACGTTCTCACACAGCTTCTCACAGACAGCTTTTCACACAGACATGTTCTCACACTGACGTTCTCACACAGACAGGTTCTCACATAGACATGTTACCCCACAGACACGTTCTCACACAGACAGATACTCACACAGACACATTCTCATATAGATGTTGTCACACAGACACGTTCTCACACAGACATGTTCTCACACAGACACATTCTCACACAGACACGTTCTCACACAGACACATTCTCACACAGACACGTTCTCACACAGACACGTTCTCACACAGACACGTTCTCACACTGACATCTCACACAGACATTCTCACACTGACATCTCACACAAACGTTCTCACACAGACACATCACACAGACAGCTTCTCACACAGACACATCACACAGACAGCTTCTCACACAGACACATCACACAGACAGCTTCTCACACAGACACATCACACAGACAGCTTCTCACAC